TTCATTTCATGCTCGAATACTGGAGGATTGAATCACTTTTAAGATCAATTCTAAGGTTTTATATTGAGTATTTCGCCGTTTCTTCTGGATAGGTTCCTGAATGCATTGACAAACTTGCACAAGCTGGGATCAAAATATGGGTTTTGACAGGAGATAAGATGGAGACAGCAATAAATATTGGGTATAATGAGTATTGCTAATACTTACAATAAAATCTGATGTAAACTTTAATGTGCTGACTTTTCAAACTGTTATGTTGAATTTTGCAGCTTTGCCTGTAGTTTGCTTAGACAAGGAATGAAGCAAATAGTAATAAATTCAGAGACTCCAGAAAACAAGGCATTGGAGAAAGCAGAGGACAAATCTGCTGTTGCAGCGGTAGACTCTAACTTCAACTGATGGCTTTATTTTTCCCTCCTTTTAAGTTTATCTGCATTTAAGGTGATTAGGCATTACAGCATTTGACAAATTGCTCCTTTTAACCATGCTTGTCACTGAGAATGTTCAATTTAAATCCAGTAAACAATATATATTTTTCATTTATTATATTTCCAGATTTTCTTACCATTTTGGACTGCGATAGCATATCAACTCAAAAATTCTCAGCGGCTTTCTTCGTTTATATTCAGATTAAATCCTTCCATTTATTTTTGTCCTATGAACTAACTGTTGCAACAAAAGTTTCCTAATTTGTGGACAAATGGGACAACTCAACATTTTTCGTGGTCTTCCTCTTCATCTATATCGACATATACAAAAGCATTATGGACCTTTTTCTCTGCCAGTTTATTTTGTCCATTTTATCTCATCGAATGCTTAATGTGAAACCTCATGACAAATCTCAGCTTTAGGCTCTTTGGTAAAGTTGTGCAGTTGACACTGACATCCTCCTCATTACTGGGGGTTAAGATTAACTCGAGCTTTACTTGAGGTGTTTTTTCTGCTTTAATTCATTTATTTATGAAAAAATCACTCTCACATGTCTTACTTCCTGGATAGGCTCAATTATAACACATAGGAACTATGTGAGTGGCATAAATTAAAATAATTTAAGAAAGATTTTGCTCCCTTCAACAGTTTTTGAGATACGTTTTTGCCCCAGTACAAAAGTAGGATTTTATAGTCACATGTCTTGACAACTTCTTGGTAACCAGTATAAAGTGGTTTCTTATCAAATCTAGTCCAACTTTTGAGTGTGCTTGTCAGCTTGATGAGATCTTTTTGATTTTCTAGGCATTTAAGGCAAGCGTTTGCCAGCAGATAGCTGAAGGGAAGCAGTTGCTTACTTCATCAAGTGAAAATTCTGAGGCATTGGCTTTAATTGTTGATGGGAAGTCACTAACTTGTGCTCTGGAAGATGATGTCAAAGACAGTTTCCTAGAACTTGCCATTGGCTGTGCGTCAGTTATTTGCTGTCGTTCATCTCCTAAACAGAAGGCACTAGTAAGTTATATTATCTTTCAATGGTGCATAAAATATATTCTTTTAATGCAATAATTTCTATTTGATTTTGTTCCTATGGTGAGCAAAAAGTGGTGTAAGTTGTGCATGTTATACTTAGGGATAACATATTCTGACAGAAGAAAGTGTTGAACTGAGATTTCAAGAGCTACTAGCCTGTTTATAGTACTTCTGGAATCTTTAAAAACTAAGTCAGTTTTAAATGAATGATGAAATTTGTCCCACATCAACTTGACTATCAAGTACTTACTTTTATAACCAAGAACATCATCCAAGCTCTGGCTTGCTTCTAGCAATTCCAAGGAGAACTCAAACTAATTATCTGAAAAAAAAATGCAGGTTACAAGACTGGTTAAAACTAAAACGGGTAGTACAACTCTAGCGATTGGTGATGGAGCAAATGATGTTGGTATGCTTCAAGAAGCTGATATTGGAGTTGGTATCAGTGGTGTGGAAGGAATGCAGGTAAATGCTAAATAGATTGCTTCATGTGTAAAGCCGGTGCATTGATTTGTTTTACTTGATGCTTTCTCCATCTTTCTAATACCCACTTCTAAAATTTTCAGGCTGTGATGTCAAGTGATATAGCAATTGCCCAGTTCCGCTTTTTGGAGCGCTTGCTTCTTGTGCATGGACATTGGTGTTATAGACGGATCTCATCAATGGTAATATAAGTAATTCTGAGATGTTAATCTTGAAGTGTTCTCAATCTAACCTGGAATTGAGATGACCAATGTTTTTATCACAAAGTTAAATTTGGAATTTTGATATCACCACAAATTCGGAAGATGTTTGAGTTAAATCAGGAACAACAGTTTAAAATGAATAGGGTTTTGACCAATATGATTCTTGTACTGTTGAACTATTAAATTCCCAGAAGTTCAAACTATGAGTCGCATTTTGTTTCGTTTTTCTTTGGTCTGAAAATCGATTTGGTTTTTAATCTATGGTAGAAAAATTAAACCTTTTCTTAATCCTTTTGTTTAGCCATGACAATCAAATGCCAGAAACCAGATTAATGCTCTTTTTCAAGCATCCAATATCAACCAGTTAAATTGAGATGATTGAACTGTTTTGCAGATATGCTATTTCTTTTACAAGAATATTGCATTTGGTTTCACTATCTTCTTCTTTGAGATATATGCATCATTCTCGGGGCAAGCTGTGTACAACGATTGGTATCTGTCCCTCTATAATGTCTTCTTCACATCACTTCCTGTGATTGCTCTGGGAGTTTTTGACCAGGATGTCTCTTCCCGTTTGTGTCTGAAGGTATCTCTCGTATAAGTGGTTTTCTTTTGCCCACAAAGTGATAGATTCTTGAATGGCATTATTTAGCTTCGTTGATTGAAGTAGAAAACTAACATATTTTTAAAATTCTATACTGGAGAGAAAATGCCACCGTGATGATAATATCTCATTTCTCTTCTACTTAATGTTGCAGTTTCCTCTATTATACCAAGAAGGCATACAGAATGTGCTGTTTAGCTGGCTTAGAATCCTTGGCTGGGCATTTAATGGAGTGCTAAGTGCTACCATAATCTTCTTCTTCTGCATCCAAGCAATGCAGCATCAAGCCTTTCGCAAAGGTGGGGAAGTTGTTGGATTGGAAATCCTTGGCGCTACCATGTATACGTGTACGGTCTGGGTAGTTAACTGCCAAATGGCACTATCCATCACCTATTTTACATATATACAACATCTCTTCATCTGGGGCGGCATTATATTCTGGTATATATTCCTCATGGCTTATGGAGCCCTGGACCCAGACATATCAACTACCGCCTACCAGGTCTTTGTTGAAGCCTGTGCACCATCTGGATTGTATTGGCTTCTCACACTCCTTGTGCTGATAGGCTCACTTCTCCCATATTTCACTTACTCTGCCATTCAAATGCGGTTTTTCCCCTTGTATCATCAGATGATACAGTGGATAAGATCTGATGGGCAAAGCGATGACCCTGAGTACTGTCATATGGTAAGGCAGAGATCACTACGTCCCACAACAGTAGGTTATACCGCACGTTTTGAAGCAAAATCTAAAAGCTTTAAAGAGAGAGCTGGGGATCATTGATGGTTATCCTTTAGTTTCTAGCTCAAGATAGTTGTATATTACTTGTGCTGCTAGGTTTCTTCTAAATGTACATAATTTAACATCGAGATAGTTGCGTTTCTTGACAAGAAAGTTATGTCCCTAAGATGTTCCTGTCAACCCAACCGATGCAGCCTTGTATCCAACCTTTTCAGTTGGAACCATCTTCTTTTATTTATTTCTATGAGCCCATATCACGTTTTTCAGCTAAAGTTGTAATTTGTATGATAAGAAGTAAGGATATAGAAACAAAAGTTAATTAATTTTGAATTGTTCTTGAATCTGCAAGAAAATTTATGACATTATTCATGTTGTCCTGCATGATTCTCAGAAACCTATTTCAACACCATTAAATCATCTCTCTTCCTTTTGCCATTCCCCTGACAGAATCGGCCTCCAGCTTTTTGGAGGTGAGTACCCAACCCTGTTGTCCAGCTCTTTTGTTGCTTGCAGTACATTTCTAAAGATTGTAGAGGGGAAAAAGTATATATACATTTGAATATATTCATGTTTACAGCAAGCAAAATGAGGAAAAAGTTAAAAAGGCGGAAGAATTGACTGTTGGTTCTAGATCCTGTTCTGTGTCTGTATCCATAGTTCTACAGGATCAAATATAAAGTTCCTTCCCTAGGGGCATCGGGTTACCTTAAATGGTCTTGTAAAGGTCACATAGCATGAGTTACACACCTTCATTGCATACCTTAGCTTTCACATTTAACTTTGAAGTGCAGATATTACTCTAATCTTGCCATTGATCTTTCCCAAGCTGATTATAAAGATTATCCGGATGCTTTTACATGACATCTTTCTGTCGTGAGGCTAAGGCCAATGCCAAGATTTTCTGGATTATATACTGCCAATTAATCTAGACTGCTACTATAAAACCAGACATCAATAAGAACCAGCTTTTTCTGGCAGAGCTGAGGATTTCTGGTTCGTTAAAAACTGGACAACTCACCTTTGGAAAACCAATAGGATTCTCTGCATTGCAAAGCATACAACATAGTTGATGAAGATTCCTTTATCATTGTGCTAAAAGCCATGTGGTTTTCCAGCATGATCTTAATTTCTTAGTTGTCAGTTGAGGCCTTTGATATTATAGTAATGTACAGATAACCAACATGAACCATTTTTCTTGCTCATTTCTCTGGTTTATCATTTTAGATAAGCTCAATCAGATAAGCTCAATCTTCAAGAATATATAGAAATATCTGAAGAAATACTAACAATGAATGCACTCAGCTTCATTGCATATATAGATTCATCAGAAAAACCCCTAACAAAAAGGTTATTTTAACATAATACATAAAGCCAACCTGGATCTATTAAACTTTGGAATCAACATATATATACAATGGCTGGTAGCATGTTCTTCCTCCAATCTGTACAGATAGATGAAATTGAAAACAAAGTTAGATACAGAATGACCATATTTCAGAGCCTTAATTATTAATAATTCACAGTAAGATCCATCGACAAATCATTCCAGGTAATGTTTACACAAAAAAAAAAAGAAAGAAAGAAAGAAAGAATAAATTATATATAACCTAACATGACAAAGTAATGCCTAGAAAGTCCAAGGCTGACTTTGCCATTACAGAAGAAAATTCATTGAAGCTAATGACACCATCCCCATCGGTATCAGCCTCTTTGATCATCTCCGTCAGCTCTCTATATGTCAATGATTGTCCCATTTTGGCCATGCAGCCTGCTAGCTCCGCCGCGGTGATGAAGCCATTGCCATCACGATCAAACAAATGGAAAACCTCCCTGAGTTGCTCTTGGTTTACCAATATCTGTTCATTCATGTCAGGCAATATGGCATTGACTAGTTCATCAAACTCCACCGCACCATTGCCATTAGAGTCCATGTTGGCTAGCAGGACATGAATTTGATCGCCGGATGGCTTGAGTCCTAGCGATCTTAGCAGCGCCGCAAGCTCTAGAATGGTCAGGCTGCCATCCGAATCCATGTCAAACCTTGCGAAGATGTCCTTTAATTGATTGATTTGATCAACTCGTAATGACACCATTTTGAATGGAAATGTTCCTAGCACATGAAACGCACCACAAAACCAAAAAAATACTCGAAAACAAATGTTAGTAAGAGAATGAATATTAACGTCTTAATGGTAGTTTGTGGTCATGATAAAGCAGGTGGCCGCGGCGCCCCCGGCAGCTATGGAGGAGAAGAAGGGATGGGCAAGGAGGAAATGAAAGAAATGTTTTGGTTTTTGGTATTTTCGGGGAGGTATGGTTATGAGTGTGAGGTTTAGATTTGATGTTGGGGTGGCATTATAAATAGAAAGCTCGTCGTCGGTGGATTTGTTTCTCTTTGTTATACTTTACACACACAATGGAAGGTTAAGATTCTCTAGGATTTCCTTTCATAGGAGTTTCCAAGGAAACCTCCTCATTGCCTCGTTTGGCCTTTTTTTATTTTTTTTCTTTAGGTAATCACTACGCTGTGTCAACAAATATTAATTCATGAGAATGCCTTTCACTAATTAATACCAGGAAACCTAAAAAGGGGTTTCCAAATTGCATTTAGAAAGAAGAAAGTATTTTATGATAATTAAATTAATTTCGAGCTTAGTATTAGTTTGAATTTGGTTGCTAAAAAGAGATTATATTTCGAAAGATGTTTTAGATTTTGGAAATGCACGTAAATCAACAAGCTAATTATGGAAGTGATTTTATTGATTTATGTATAATTATTTGAGAAACTGCAAAATGAGGGTAGTCATTGCTTCACTGTCATTGTCAACCAAACATGTTACTCTTCACAGCCTGCAACAACTCAAGTGCGTGGGATTTGTTTACAGGCAATATTCAACGTCGGTGGTTCTCGCTCTCGTACAAGAGGAACAATTAGCTGTACTTGTAAACATTAATTTATTCTTCATAAGTTATGACCCAAAACTTTTTAATTAGGATTTTATCTTTCACACACACACATTTATATATATATATATATATTATTGATTATTGAATCTATTTGCATAAACAGTTGGGAAATTAATTTGTTTGGATCATTTGCACAACATCAATAATAAATTAAGAATTATCTAATTGATTCTTAATTAAGAAGAGTGAAACGTCACGTTTTTATGTCATCTTATTACATCAATATATAATCATGTTGTAATTTGATGGCATTTGATATCAAGGATGTGAAACCATATTACTTATAATGTGTCTAATTAAATTACATTACAATATTTGTTTTAAACCAAATCAATCAAATGTAAGATTACAATATAATTATATTATAATCAATAGATGTAATGTGATTATATTGAAAAACGAATGCAATCTCATACTACAATTTAATTTTTATCATTTTAAAAAAATTAAAAATATTTTTAAATTTTTGAAAAAATCCATAAATTTTGAAAAACATAAAAATAATTTTTTAATTTTAAAAATTCTAAAAATTTAAGAAACCTAAAAATAATTTTTATTTATTAAAAAAATTCTAGAATGATAAAAATAGAAATAATTATTATTTTAAAGAAATTATAAAAGATTTGAAAATCTATAAAATAAAAAATATATATAGAATTTTTGACAAAATAGAAGATATTCTTTTTTATACTCATAAGTTTTTAAAATTATAAAAATTATTTCCTCTATGTAATTTTTAATAAACTTTTAAAAATTAAAAATATTTCTTTTTTACTTTCATTTTTTTCAAAAATTCTCTTTTGGTTTTTATTTTCTTAATTTTTATAAAAAGAATTATTTCCATTTTTAATGTTTTAAAATTTTCAAAATTGCTAACAAATAAAAAGTTATTTTTTTAATTAATATTAATATGGATTTGCTTGATGCTTGGTTATTTGTTGGAAAATTTATTTAAAAAATTATATCATATAAAAATTTATAATAAAAAAACATATAAATATATTAAACTTGCATTTTAACACGTAGGATGATTTTAAAAATTAACATTATACTTTATAAATCAAACGTTACAATGTTATCTTTCTAACATTTTAATTACACCTTCTTTAATATACCAAACGTTGTAATGTTATATTATCAGCAATCATATTCCTTGTAATCACATTATTTGTAATGTGACTGCATTATAAGGTACCAAACACAATCTTTATTGTGACATGCAACATATCATGTTAATATTACGTGACCATATAAGATAATAAGTGATGCTTTTATTAATAACAATTAATCAATAATTAATTATGAAAATCTATTTGACTCAAAATAAAAATATATATTCGTAATCTTTAATCCGAACACACTATTCAAATTGAATTAGTAATAAAGTATTAAAGCTCCAATAATGTATATTGAGTGTGCATACAGTATTCTTTGTATCAAATCAAATCTAAATATTCTTTGTTTTTCGTAATCAATTCATAGATATATTATACATTAAGAAACAAAGTGTTACTAGATGCTTCGTCTTGCCAGATCTAAAACCTCCGAAGTTAAAAGAAGTAAGAACCAAGGTAAAAAAGATTACAACTTCACCAAAATCATGATCATCCCCTTCTTTCTTTCTTTTATTTGTGTTTTTTCAGTGCTTACAGAGGTAAAGGAAAAGATATCATGTGCATGTGCTGCAATGATTTAGGCAAATATATGAAACTAAATACCAACAATGCTGCACTCGAACATATAATTCATTCATTGATGAGTGATCTCTTTCTTAAAAGGTATGATTCAAATTTACTTATCTCGAATCTTAAAAGAATACGAGCAATGCTACCTTAAATTTCAAACTTGAGGGTGATGGGCGTGGTTATTTGTTTCTTCCCCAAAAGACATGACCTTGGCTCCCACCTCCACCTCACCAGCCATGCAATGTTGACACTTTCGCTTCAACCATCCCAAGCAGCCTCCATGCTTGATAGTATCCAACGGTGTAACTGGCGCTGCCGTCCGACGTCGGACACAAATTCTTCCCACCACGCAAGAAACTATTGCAAGAAATGTGAGAATCGAGATAACCGCAAAGAACGGCCCTATAGACCCTGATGACGATGACGAACTGCTTGCCGCCGCTGCTCCTTGGCTGCTCCCTATATCTCCTTGTTGCTGCTGCTGCCCCTGCCCCTGTGGTAATGACGAAATAGTGGATTCCATCTTCTTTGTGATTAAGGAAGAAATAACTACGAATAGAAGGCCATCTATATATACGAGTAGCAAGCCACCAAGTCGATTTGTCGACCAAGATAAAAAAAAAAAAGTGAGAAGAGAAGCGGGCAATGCTCTTTTGAAGGCTTTAAACCGGCCATAAAGAAGAGAGAAAGATCAGTAAGTGGAAGCCAACATGGAAAGGACCAAAAAAGATAATTTTTGCGTGCTTTGCGTGCTTCTTTGCCTCGTCAGAAAGCTCTGAAACCATTAAAGATGGTCCAAATTCTCCAGTGCTAAAAGTCACTCCCCTTGATATCTTAGTACATTAATATATTTCAAGGATTTAAATTAATATATTTCAAATCCCATTATTTCTTTTAATTTATATAGTACATGCATGTAAAACATTTTATCCTAAGGGTCCCTTTGGTATTAAGCAATTGATTTCCTAACAGAAAATCATTCTTTTTGAAAAGAAAGGTTTTTTTTTTTGGTGTTTGGATATCAATCTGAAAAATATATTCTGGTATTTGGAAATTTTATTAATATTTACAAACATAAATACTTAAAAATTATGATACAAAAATCTTCCTTCTATTATATCGTTATTTTTGTTATGAATATATGTATGAATATTCATGATGTTGTAAGTTAAAAAGTATAGACTAAGCCAAACAGCCTAATTTACAAAAAAAAAAAAATGTAATCTGATTTGAACTATAGAATTAAATTAAAATTATAATTTATATTTAAATAAAATCTTTTTACTCCCTTTAAATACTCTCTTATATTTTTGTTAGAGTTGTTCTCTTAAGATTTATTTCATAATAATTTTCTCTTTATCAAGAGAATTATTTTTCATGTTTATTGAATTATAAAATCTTCATTATCGTTAATAAACTAACATTTGGTAACTCTTTTCATTCACCCAAATTTTGCTGATAATAGGTCCTGTTTGATTTATGAAAAATTTGAAGTAAAGAAAATATTAAGGAAATTAAATTGGGGGAAAACATATTAAAGCAAAGTAAAATGAAATTCTTTGTCTTGTTTGGTTATACAAGAAAGTTTATAATTTTTCTATCTATTTTAAGGATAAAACAAAAAAAATCATACCCAACTCAATACTTCAGTGCCAATATTTGCAGCACATTTAACACCAAAATCATGTTACCACCACCAATTTTCTATGAATCAAACGAACTCTATATTTGAATGAGAGAATGGAATAATCATTCCTTTTCTATTCTTAATCTTTTTTTAGTACTTGAAAAGAATGATCATTTTTTGAAATGACCCTACAGGGAAATGAGGGATAGCCAATACCAAGTCCCTTGATATTAGCTATTCCAAAAGGTTAAGGGTAGAGTAAAAAAATTTAGTGAACAAAAATACTTTTTATTAATTTTAAAAATTATTATATTATATAAAATGTAATTTATTTATTTTTTAAAATTTCTTACTCACAAAACTTATATGTTTTCTATTATAGGTAATTAAGTTTTTATTTATTATTTTTACTAAGATAAACCCTTATATTAACACACATGAATAACTGATAAGTTCGCAAGTACCTAGCACTTTCGGCACATGCGATAAATAATCATGTCTTGGTGCGAGAAATTTTTCCTTAATCAATTTCGTCATGTTAAAAAGATCACATCAACATTCACTTTTTAGTTGATCATGAACCGTTAAGATTACATGATTCAAGTGACATCTTTTCATTAATAATAAAAAGAATCCTTTTAGGTTCAACTTATAATATAAAAATTGAGTAGATAAAAAAATAATAATTTATTTTTAAAAAATGATAAAAATTTAGAGGTTTATTTACTCCCTCCGGCTCCATCCCTTAAATTAAACTCTCAAAAACTTTAAAGAAGTTTTTATTTCAATAGTTTTCACTCAAATAAAATAATTAAGTTCCATTTCTACCCTTCATGTTTTTGCTTTTGGAATTCGTGAATCATTGAGCAATTGGTTTTCCCACTAATTGCTTCCAGTCATATTTTTTTTATTATATAATGTTTAAAAAAATTCCTAAATTATTAAAAAAATTTAAATTGATCTTTATTCTTTTATTACATTTAATCAACTTATTATACTTTTATAATTAAATCTGTATAAATTATTTTTTTTGAGATTATGAAATTTTATTAATTAATCGAGATATTATTTAATTAATAAATTAATAATTTACACATAAGTTAATAAAAAATTAATTTATCAAAATATTTTTTATTTTTTTTAAATTTAATTTAATGTATATGTATTGCGTATAGTTTTTTATGGCAACATGACACTATATCAGAGCTTCTTCATGCATTAAGAAAAGTTAAAGATGAAATTCAAAAAAAATTAATTTCTAGAGGAAATAGCATTGGACTCGTATTTTATAAAAACCTCATAATTAAGTCATGTATATATATAATTTTGATGTATAAAGAGATTATTAATTTATATATCAAGTGAGACCTATATATTTTTTAAAAATATATTATCTTATAAATTTAGTGAATTATTAATTTTCATATTAGTCATAAGTCGAGAGAGATCAAAAATATTATTTAATTGAGATTATTGATTTGAGTATTAATTTATAAAGAGTATAGTGTATTTTAGATAAAATAAACTCCTATGACTAATAGTTAAATAATTGTTATTAATGAAAATATCACTTGTCATTTTATATTTACATAAAATTAACATGGAAGGTGAAAAATGTTATGTGACCATACATCATATCACATAAGTATTTTATATTATCATTTATTGTAACATGCCAACATGTTGCATCAGCATCACATTATATAAAATAAAAAATGATATTTTAACTGATTTTTTATTAATCAACTATTAATCATAATGATTTATTTGATTTAAAATAAAAATATATTTAAATTTTCTTAAATAATTCATGAGCTTTTTTTAGATATTTTGCCTCATTGTTTTTACAATTTTTTGTTGTTGCTTTTTTAAAGAATTTGTGCATTGATGCTAACTAACAATAAACAAGAAAAGAAGGGTAAATTTGATAACTCAAGTGCATTTGTTGTTTTGCTTGGACGAATAGTTGTCATTATTTAAAAAGGAAAGATAAATTAAAAAAAAATTAGATAGAAGGAGTAATGTTTTATTCAAAATTATTGTATATAGGAAAATTTTCTATGGTTACAAAATTTAACCAAAAAAAAGATTGATTTTATTTTTTTTGTTTATTAGGGAAACATATGATTAATCATAAGTAAAAAATAATAAACTCGATAATAATTACATAGAGAATTCTAATACTCAAATAATTTTTGATATATATAATATTAAATTACCTAACAAGAGTCCCTTTCCATTTATTTCTTGGTTATTTCAAAATTATTCATGTCAATCAGACATTAAAATGAATCATAATAATAATTCTTACTTTGTTAATTTATTGAATCAAATTACAAAAAAATTATTATATTTTAATTTTAATTTTATTATATTTTTATAAAATAATTATTTTATTTCGTTTCATAAAGCAAACATGCAATTATTATTTTTCTTGACTCAGGAAAGAAAACCAAATTTGACAGTAAAATTTAAGATTTTTTAAATGAATAATTATTTATGAGTCCAAGTTCATCGACCATTTTAGGTAAAATTTTTACTTTATGAATTTTAATTGGTCACTTTTCCGTAAGAAATTTATGGCTACACTAGCATTTAGAAAACAGCAAATGCAGGTTCTGGACCTTTTTCCCTCCAAATCTTAACTCTTTCAATTCTATTCTTGGTTAGGAGAATGTGAGATTAAAGTGTATTTGGGTCACAAGAAGAAATGAAGTGAAAATGAAATAATTATTTCGTAAGAATAAAGTAATAGATGAATAGATATTATGTAGTTTGATTTATAAGAATAAAATAAAATAAGAATTATTATTATAAATTATTTTAATATTTGATTGACATAAATAATTTTAAAAATAATTAAAAAATAAGTCATAATTAACAAAAATATCATTTATTATAATAGTTATTTTTAAATTCAAATATTTATTATTTTAATAAATGATTATTTAAATGTTAATATAATTATTTATTTTAATTTAAAAATCTTAATAATTTATATTTTATTTTAAAATATTAACAATTTTATAATTAAAATATTAATTTTATTATTTATTTTTAAAATATTAAAATATAAAAAAATTTATAATTAAGACTTTAATTTAATTTTTAAATTTAAAATTTTAATTTTTTATAATTTATAATTATTTTATCAATTAGTGCAATAATGAATAATTAAATACTTAAATTAATAATGCCTTGCAGCATCACGTGGGCACCCCCGCTTATTGAAATCTACAAAATTCTTCCTTGGGTCTCATTCCTTTGATAAGCTCTCAAAATTTTCAACATTTTACATCTGATTATAACATAGGTCTTTTCCTTATCTTCCAAACAATACCCTTTTCTATGTGCTCCTTATTTGGTGTCAACATTATAAAATTTTGGATAAGCTCGATCATAATTGACTTGTGTTATATTTTCTACACAAAGTCAAATCCATAAGTTGTAGTTTCAAAAATGCAATCTCTAATTATTGAAATGCCATATATTAAAATTTTAAATTTATTTATTAACACAATTACATTTTAATAGATAATAAAACTATCACATACCCACACTTTAAAATTTTTTTACTTTTACAAATATCATTATGTCATTATTCTAATAGAAATCTCATATCAAGTACGTTAAATACGTAATATGCACAAAGTGAATTATCTTTTTGTTTTTAAAATTTATAATTAAAATTTAATTTTTTTATTTTAAACTCATTTTAATTTTTTTTATATTTTAAATTTATTTTAATTTAATGAGAGAGGTTTTGAAATAATTAGGGAATTTATTTAGTATTTTCGCAACTGTGTTTTTATTGCATTTTTTCTTTTTGAAAAGTTTCCTTTTGTGGAAGATAACATCCAGCCATTTTCCTCTGCGCCGTATGCCAGGACAAATGAAAGGAACCAAACACGTGTACAACTTTGACTCGGTACGAGAAAGAAGAAAAGAAAAACCAGATTAAAGTTTTCAGAAAAAAGAAGGAAGGGTAAACGTATTTTGTTTTTTATGAAAAGAAAAGCAACCCATACTAAGACACGTCATTATCCTAATTTGTTAGTATTATTGCTTTTTAAGTGGTCCCTCCCTTGAATCCCTTCCCTCATTCGCCCACCGCACTCCAATGATTAAATTGACTACCAACAGGGTTAAAACCGTCAATTCACAAAAAAAATCTCCCATTCTTAACTGAAAAAAATACTAATAACAGAAAAAAAAAGTTCTCAAAAAGAAAAAAAGGAGAAAAAGTGACTGTTCGTCTGTCACTTAGGAGAGAAAAAGAAAATCAAATAAAAAAAGAAAGAAAGGGAAATTAGAGAGAGCGAGAGAGAAGCGTACGGCAACGGCGACACGGCATTTAGATTTTTTCCTGGTTCAACTCTTTTTTTTTTCTTTTTCATCTTTGAATTCTAGTTTTATAGATTTGTATATACACAATACATTGGATGGTTTCTGTTTCGGTTGAATTTGTACAGATCTGTGGAATTCGACGTTTGTTTTTTTATTTTTTATGTGAGAAATGAAAGATTTAGTGTTACCACTGGGAAATAAAAAGTAAAAAGGGTTAAAGACACTGGAGGCAGCGGTTCATCGATCTCTTCCTGGGAATTTTGTTGTGAGAATAACACAAATACATGAATCGGTCGATAAACCTCTGCATCCAGAGCCTTGCCTCGCTCTTTAATTTCTTCTTTCTTTTATATAATATATATCTTTTTACAGCAAAAGCAAACAATTTTTTTTTTTTGAAGTTTAATGAGAGTTATTAATAATTTCTCTGCTCGTTGGTTGCTGAGCAATTTTAAACAAAATTATAAATCATGATATAAGTAGAAAGAATTACTATCTGGGTCATTTTTAGTTTTCTATTATTTTGTAATATGAATTTCCTTAAAATGTCTTCTTTTTTTTGTTTTAATTTTTTTTTAACAAATAATGCCTAATGTTAGGTGGTTGCAGTGAAGCAAAAAGGGATTTCCTTATCGTTTCCCGGTTGTGGACCCAACGGGGCTACTGATCAAAGCTGTTTTATTACTATTTTTTTTTTTACTTTTACTAATTATGCTTGATGTTTTTATTTATGTGTACTGTGTAGTAGGAAGGAAATGAATGGTGAATGAGCTACTTGACAAATGAATGTATTGCCAATATTTGGTGTGAGATTTTGAAATGCATTAAATGCCTTTCGATTTGCTTGCTAAGTGGTAATTTGTTTCTGAAATTTGTGTCGATTATGTGATTTTTAACATTGCATCTGAAATATTATTGACCTTTTTTCTCCCAATATTATATGATACGAATCTTCTTGTGGAAATTATTTGGATAATGTTCTTGATCTTCGCTCAATTATAATTTATTTGTTTAAATAAATTCCGGATTATATCGTTTTCATATGTGATAAATCTAGAGTTAAAAACATTGTGCATGGATGCATGTTTACTCATGATATTTTAGTGCTTTGTTAGTCATTATGTTGAACAAGGTTGAACCATTTTGAGAGCTAGACATTGTTTTCTTTGTGCTTGAATTTGTGCCAGTAATGAGTAATCCATAATGCTTTTTGGCATCTTATTTATTGTTAAGGTTCTTAAGAAAGATAGAGAGAAATGGAGCTTCCTTTAAATGTTTTGGCATTTATGTTATTTTGAATGTGAATGGAAAGCATGCTGTGTCAATTTGTTTGACTGTTCATTTGAGTTGCATTCAGCAAGGAATTTTTTCGATTAGCAATGTTTAGATCATTAGTTGGTGTGGGCAATTCTGGAAGTTCATAATGTTGTAAAGATTCTGTTGATGACTGAAATTTGTATGACATGAGATGAGATTCTGCCCATGGTCCAACGCCGGTAAGGCTCCTATGTACTTCGGTCTCGGTTACAGATGATGGTTGAAGATTCACCATTTTAACTGAAGAAAGTAGAAGGGATAGGGTACCCCTTTTTGTATATGTATATTTTTGTTTTGCAGTTGTGTGGGACTTTTAGATGGTAGTAAATAGGCATTAAGTGCAGCCATTTATGTGTCATTTTCTCTGAGCAGGTAGGGGTAGTTAAAAGTTTCTTTCTTTGTAAAAAAAGTTATCCTTTGAAATGAAGTTTCCAAGTGGGGGGACAAACCTTCGTCATTGCTGCATGAAAGTGAGGGAAAATTACGGTTTCACAGGTAGCAAGTTGTGAAAGAATCTGCTATTTTCATGTGAACAAATGGAATCTGGTATCAAATCCCATCCACCAAAAGCTTTGGTGGAAATAAAATCAAGTTAAATTCTCTCCTTAGTCTTCTAGTGACTAGGGGTACCAACCAAAAAGGTTGGGTTATGGGAGCATAAATAGGAACTCCAAAAGAGAAGGAAAGAATCCGGGGGGAGCATAAGCAAGCTGAGGATATTCTGTTGTTTTGTATCCTATTCTTTGTTGTTAGGTTGAAAATTGTTGCACCCATTGTACTCGATGTTTGCTTGTCATTCTAATGGAATTCTCCCTTTTCAGTTTTAGTAAACTGAATTTTCTTTCAGTTTCGTGATTCCTTTGTTACTACTCAGTATTCTCCCTTTTTTGTTTGTTCTGGTTGTGGGGCAAGCCGATGGATGGGCTTTTGACTCCTTTCGGGGTGCCATCTGACTAGGCTTAAGTTTGGGACTTTGCTGACGTTCATGAATTTCGTTCGACTAATTTGGGCCAGAATGGCCCTTGCTCCGCAAGTGTCGTTTTTCTCTTGTTATTTTGGGTTTAAACCTAACACGTAAAGGCCTAGATGGTAAACATTGTGGTCACGAACGTACCCATACAAGATGTGAGGCAGATTTTGCACGACATTTGATCCATAGCAAAGGCTGCAGAAACCCGGTAAAATGGTGTCCCCTGGATCAAAATTCAGCTGACAAAGGACGTTATGCCAGGGAAGCTGGCGAATGGCGGCTTCAATGTCGTGACTTGATTAGGTACCTCCAATGAAAATGTTTTCGTTTGCATGACTAGTTGCAACTATGGTACCTGTAGCTCCCCTAAACCTATCAATGGCAGCTTCCATTTATTTTAATTTCCCGTCAAAATAAAATAAAGTAAAGATGGGATGCCGTGAGTAGAAATCCAAATTACTGCCAATGGCGATGGCAATGAGTCAGCTGATCTTTCAAAGGAATATGCAGGACCAGCACTTGATACTATTTTATATATAATAACCAACGTATTAATATAAATGACGACAAAAGATGTTGTACATTGCATAATAAACAATAATATAGGAATGATTTCTTACATCATAGTTCATTCATGTTTGTACTTTATTGTAATATTTATTTATTTATTTTGTTTCTTTCTTGCTTGGAAAAAACAATCAAAGTGTCTGTCTGTAAAGGTGTACTATGGGTCGACCTGTTATGAGAATATCCTTCTTTCGAGTGTGCTGCCCTTGTCCAAATGAATGAAGAAATCTCTAGACTATTAGGAAATGTTAATATTAAGACCATACCAATGAAAAAAAAAAAAAGAGGAAATGATGATTTGTAGATCGAAGTATGTGGTAGGCATGACATTTACATCATATGCATATATATATATATATATATGGCTATATAACAGTTATTTGCTATTAAAATATTGTTGTAAATTCAGCAACAAGTAGCCTAGGAAGCAACTGGGCCTCTTTCTACATGTTCAATTATACCACTGATAAGTCTTGAAAGCAGGTAGCATAAAGGTTTATATAATTTCCTCCAAGCATTCTTAAGCATGCATCTGTCAGATTCAAAGGAGAGCTCAGATACATATATAAGCTTGGAATATAAGAATTTAACTGCCAGAACAAACTCCATTAATTTTGTGTGCTAAATCATAGACAAGATAACAAAAATTGATCAAGAATATGTGATGATTAGGTAGAGCCTAGAACTAGAAATCAAACAGTAATGGAAATGGGTCAAGTCATAATAAAATTTACAACATCAAAAAGTAGTCTTTGTTTACGCAAAGCCAATCCTCAACTCATCATCTGCAGACAGTACAGATTCAAGCTATTATAAGTGCATCTTGATTCTTGACAAATTTATCTCTTCTCCTCATTGATGTAATTAATTTTCTTATTAAAAAAAGAAAAAGCATAAACTTTTTCCCTTAGAAGTACTAATCAAACATGAATATGTATTGACTAATTGAACAGCAACAATTTACAACATGACATGTCTTCATACACAGAGCTAATAGTCAACTGATTTGCATGAAAAAGAACCAACAAAAAAAAAAAAAGAAGACCTTCGATTTGAGTTATTAGGCATCTTGACAATTTTTTCCCTCTTCTCCTCCTTGATCTAGAGAAGTACAAAAGGAAGGAGCTACAACAACAGAAGAATAAACCTTAGAACTGCCAAGTGAGAGCTGGGAAAGCTTGTTATTACTACCCTCATCGTGATCTGAAGTCGAAGAACAAAATATAGTTTCCTCAACAAGCGTATCAAAATCGACTGGGTCGACTTTGTTTCCTACGTTTTGATTTTGCCAAGGAACAGTACCAATGGATTTGAGAGATGTTGATCTTGCATGGTTCTTCGTGATTGTTAGCTGAAGAAGCTGATAAAGCCTTGGATTCTTTCCTAGTAGATTGCAGTTCTCTTCATAGGTATTCATTACCCCATGATACTGAAAGTTGGTCTTTGCATTCCTTCCTCGCAAAAGCCTTGCTGCGCTATCATAAGCCAAGGCAGCCTCTTCTGCTCTATCAAAAGTCCCTAGCCATAGCCTCAGCTTCTGCGAAGAGTCCTTGATCTCAGCCACCCATCTACCTGACGGTCTTTGTCTCACCCCAAGGTATCTCCTCCCAGTATTGTCGTTGTTTCCTCTTTTTGTAAGCTTCTTGCCTCTTTTCTCACTATCTTCATGAAAGCTTTCTGTTTCAAGCGGAATTGAGATATGGTTTTTGCAAGGGCTTTGAGATTGATGAGACGGTATGGTTCTTGAGCTATCCATGCTGTCCATGATCGGAGGAGAAAGGGTTATGGTTTAGCAAAACTGAGGAGGGTCTGCTATGATATTGTGGAATAATGGAGACTTAATAGAATGATTTTGGGATAATGTCATGTTGATTGTCTGCTTTGGGTTTGATGTTTCTGATAAAAATAATATAAATAAATAAATAATGAGAAAAAGTATAAGTGCAGCACTAGATTCCTACCATCATAGCTAAATAACAAGCAGCCTCTATTTGAATTAGGTTAGCAAGATGACGAATAGAGAATTAATTTGCTGATAAAGTTCAGTAGAAATAGGCATTCATGTATAATTGTGACTGCTACTTGGAGGGATATGAATGAATGGTATATCAGGCATCATCAACTTTCTGGATTGTTGGCATCCTTCTGGACTTGTATATTTGGTAGATTAGATATATAAATCTTGCGATTAGGACAAAGATACATTGGAAAGAAACAAATTTAGCAGATCAATACTTGGACAAAGATACCCTGAAAAAAAAAATGAGAAAACCAAATTAAGAAGTCCTTGTTCTTATTTGTGAAGTATCATTACCCCCTTATGATTTTCATGAATCATATGGTGCAATAACAATTTGAATAAGTGAAGCTAGATGGGGTAGCTGCATAGATGTACTGCTTCTGTCTTAGATCAATGCCAGTCTTCTTTCTGAAACTCTTGGGACTTTTGTGGCTATTCACTTGGTCGTCAGTTCATGTCTCTTAAATGGAAGATCTTTGATCACTTAGCTATGAGGAAAGGGTTGAGAGGGTTGTCTTGAAGAGACTGACAGGTCCCGTAACAAAGCATCTATTTCAAGTTCAAGGAAATCTTCTCTCATTTCTGCCAAATGCATGGGGCCAATTGATTTCATAGGGCAGTTTGTGTGAACTGGTTCCATTGTTAATCACATCAAGTTTATCTTAAATTTCTATGGATCAATGCATGAAATCAGAAGGGTTATAACTGTAATTCTCTGATATCTACCATATGACAAGGATCTGATGTCTCTCTCTCTCTCTGTGTGAAGAATAATATAATTTGTAATTTGAGGATGGCCGACTGAGGTGAGAATTTGAAGTGGAACACTAGAGCTCAAGTAGTTGGCAGAAAACTCCAAAGGCCAAAGAACTGACATAAGCAAATGTTTTATTGCTTATATAATACAGGATTTAAATCAGATTTTTACCCTAATTAATACCTTTGGTAGCATACATCCAACAGCCTACAAACAAAACCCACACCTCAAAAAGTGCCAAACCAAAACAGAGCCCCCCCCCCCCCCCCACGTTTTCTTTCCAACATCAACCCCTTTGCTGTACCTCAAAACTAAAAACTAATGTTTGGTATTTTGTCTGATAATGGGTGTCTTTGCCTTAGTCTTAAAGAACATGCCATATCCTTTGTAGTTCATTTTGCTTTTCAAAAGCTACAACTGTTCTTGTGCGCTGCAAATACATCATCAGGACCTTTTTAGGTTTCTTGTTGGATTCCTTGTCAACTTATTTTATTTTTACCTTTCACTCCTTTTAATTTCTTTTGTTTTTTCTACTCTTTACTGCCATTTTCAGATATAGATGATATACATATACAAAGGGTCATTTAGTTTTTCCTTGTTGGATTGTTCAGCCTTGGGGAGATCTTCTACTCTCCAAACCTTGAGTTCATTTGTTGTTTTGTGCAGATACAGATTAAAACACATGGGAAGAACCTCTACATATAATGTTTACTTTAATTAAAGTATTCTATTTATGTAAAGTTTATAACAGTGAAATGCATCTGGTTGAGATGGCTCCTAAGTCTTGCTTGGAAAGTTAATATGAAGAAGCTGCTATAAAAAGGAAATTATACTGTTTTAAGTAATATAAAACTTACTTTTGTGTATAATGCTTTTCCAGTTTTGGGGGAGACCATGAATTAGGACGGTTTTTGGAACGTGGGCTCAGAGAAGTTAACTCAAAGCCCAACAAGTCTACACTTTACATCACCCAAATAAAAAATAATAATTTTTTAATAAATAATAATTAATTAATTATTATTAATTAAATTACTATTTATTATTATATATCACGTAATGTTAATGTGATATATTAATATATTATAATTAATAATAATTTAATATATTAATGTAACATAATATTATAATTATGTAATAATTTTACTTTCGATATTAACATCACATCATTATCATATGATCATAAAATGATAAATAATAATTCGAATAATATCAATTAGTAAATTATTAGTTATAATACTTATTTAATTCAAAATAAAAAATTATTTCAAATTTTATAAATAATTTATGAATATTTTTAAACATCTTTGAAAAAGAGAAGATTACTCTTACAATATAACAAGACATTACATACAACTATTACTATTAACCAAATGCTCATGTAGAATACTTATGATGATATAAACCATATTTGTAGACTTTCACTTTGTCAATTTAGTATATTTTTGGATTCATGCGTGTATCAAATAGATATCCATAACAAGATGTCTCTCTGGTTTAATTATTTAAATTTGAATTGAGTAATTATGGATGAATTATTTTATTATGTTTTAATTCTTTATATATAAAGATATTTTTTTGTTTCATTTTTAATTTATTTATCCTTTTTGAACGTTTCAAAGTTATATGTATTTTTTTATTTTAATGTTAAATATATTAAAGTGTCAAAATTTTTATATCCATAGAAAAGAATTCCAATAGTTTTTATTTCTAACAAATAAGTCCTTTCCACTATTTTCGTGTAATGTTAATTAAGTATATATATATATATATATATATATATATATAAGCACTTAATTCGTAAAGCAAATTAGTATAAGTATTTAGTCATTGACGTGGACCGTTTAATCTGTAGGGCTTTTTGATATCGGAGAAAAACCCCTTACTTTCTTCTCTAAACTTCCTTTTTCCTACAGCGAAACCTGGGAAGATGTTCAAAAACACCTTTCAATCTGGGTTTCTCTCCATTTTATACAGCCTCGGGTACGTTTTATTAATTTCTCTTTCTTTTTGCTTATATTCTTCCCTTTTTTTTGTGGCTCTGTTGGTATTATTATGTATTCAACTTTGGGTTTTTTTGGGATTTTTGTACAGGAGCAAACCTCTGCAAATTTGGGATAAAGAAGGTCAGTAAATTATAGAACAAGCCTTTTGAATTGAACGGTTTAAAGGTTTGGCTAAATTGTTAGCTTTATTTTGTTGTTGGGAATTGTTTTGCAGCTGTAAATGGGCATGTGAAACGACCCCATGATGAAGACATTCAATCGAATGTATTGGAAATAATTGGATCAAATGTTCAATCAACGTACATCACTTGCCCTGCTGACCCTGCTGCAACGCTTGGCATTAAGCTTCCCTTCTTGGTTATGATTGTCAAGAACTTGAAGAAATATTTCACTTTTGAGATTCAAATTCTGGATGATAAGAATGTCCGACGTCGTTTTCGTGCTTCTAACTTCCAAGTATGTAAGTCTGCTAATTTTTCTAATATATGTATACTTTGGTTATGGAGGATTTAAATGTATTTTAGATTTGTGGATAAGAGAAAATGCTATCTGATGCAACACTTTTGTCTAAGCTATTTGTCCCTGTTGATGTGGTAATTATATATTGGTCTAACGTTAATGTTATAGTCATGAGTTTAAGGAGCCGCCCATGAGTTAGTAGACTTCATTATTGAAATTTATCTAATAATTATATGCCCATATTTGGGAGTGCTAATAGTTGGGATAAATTTGGTGGGCAAGTAGCATTAGTCCGTAGATTATGTTGTTATTCTATCAATAAGTGCCCCAGTTTTTGTGATTGATATGCATTTGGTGATAAATAGATAGTTGGGTGTGTATATCCTATTCAATATATTTCTCATTTTATTGACATGTGTATGGCTTGGATAATTATCATGTTTAGATCCCATCAATGTTTTCCCTATTTGTATCAATTATATGAGATCAATACGCGGCCTCTTTCTATCAATATGAATTTGGTTAGGAAACACAGGATGATTAACAAAGTCTGCTGTTTAGAAGCCATCAGTATGTGCTCTCTTTCTATCTTTCTGACAGGCATATATGGTGTTGGGATGGAAAGAAATTTGGTGTTGATATTCTGTTTATTTATGCCCTTTTACTTGTTAAGTTGGAAATTGTCAATCTGTTCTTTTCACCTGGGGTAGTCTCCTAATTTTGTTTTTTTTTAAATGGCTGGAAAAAGCTCTCAAGGCCAGCCGTCCTGTAAAAGTTTTATTAATTCCAATTAGCGGGTACATAAGGGAGGGGACATATACCTTACCTCCAGAAGTATACTAAAGAGTGAAGAATACTTAGAGGAATTACTTTTTCCTTTACATGTTGAAAATGAATACTTGAAAATTAGGAGAATTAAGCAAGAAATAAATTAGGAGTACTACTCCTTTGCACATTTTTAAATCTAACATAAGGTAAATTTAATCTATCAAGTCTAAGAATACCCCGCAATTCACCTTCTGCACTGTTGAATACTTGCAAGCCTTGATGAATATAACCTCTATTTGATAAGAAGTCTGCAGCTTGGTTACCCTCTTGGTGAATATGAGAAATTCTAAAGGAGAAGCTTTTTAAACAAGACCTTATAGAAGCTAATGTGATCTAATTGCATGTGAACCATAGTTCTCCTTTACTATGAGATTCACAATGACCTTAGCATCCATCTCAATCCATAACCGATGCATATTATAATCTCTACACAAGTGCAGACCCCTTAGAAGTGCTAGGAACTCTGTTTGGATTGAATTTAGAAGACCGAAGTTTTCTGAAAAGCCAAATACAAGTTTACCTGCATTATCTCACACAACTCCTCCTCCTGCTGGCCTTTAAGCATTATCCTTGCTGCTGCCATCGACATTCAATTTGAGTTCATTGAGTGCAGGTTTCAACCATCAAATAATCTGATGGGGTTTCAGTGCTTTGATTGGGAAAGAGAGTTTCCACAATTTGGCTAATTGAACATCACCCTTCCACTTCCATTTTTGCATTAAGTTTCCTTGAAGCAATTGTGTTAATATCTTCATTGTTCTCCATATGATCTGATGAGGGTTCATACCAAGGTTTTCGTGTTTTGAACCATTCCTTTCAACCCGCAAAAACCAGCATATGAAGATAGGCATCAAAACCCAAATATGACCCTTCTTAATGTAATCACCATAATAATGCCATGCCGTTACTACCTGCAAAATATTATGGGGTTGAACAACATGAATTTGGAGCAAATGGGAAAAGAAATGCCAAGCCTCTTTAGCCTTCGGACATTGCCTCATAATATGAAGAGTGATTCCTCTGAGTTGCACCCTTGGCATTTGGATGCCAATTGGAACCCTTTAGTTTTAAGCTGCATATCATCTGGTATCCATCCATGAATAACCCTACAGAAAAAGAATGAAATTGAGAGTGGGATACTTTTGTGCCATACCAACTCAAATAAATCCTCAATTGGTCTTTATGACGAACTGTATGCCAAGCATTCTTAGTAGAGAATGAGCCATTAGACACTATGATAATGAAAGGTGGATAGACACGATTAACGTACTAATATAAGACAGCTGTTTTTTTCTCTTTCCTGCCGTAGAGTGTAAATTTCATGATAACTTAATAGGCCTTTGGTTAGCATAGGTAATCATCATTGTTGGTGCTGCTCATGTATTATAAGGTTTGGTGGGTGTAGCTACCCTTTTGGAGCTTAACTCTGAAAAATCTGCATCCTTATTAAGTACTGAAGCTGTTGTTTTGTTGAATTGAACATTTTATCACTCAATTTCTATGTAAATCACTGAAAAGTAGATATTGCGGATTGTAATTTTACTTGTATGTTTTCTTAACTTTATTTGAATTTCTAGGCTGTCACTCGAGTAAAGCCATACATATGTACTATGCCGCTGAGATTGGATGAGGGTTGGAATCAAATTCAATTGAATCTGGCTGATTATACCCGGAGGGCCTATGGCACCAACTATGTTGAGACTCTGCGAGTTCAGGTCCATGCAAATTGCCGCCTTCGAAGGATATATTTCTCTGATCGCTTGTACTCTGAAGAGGAACTCCCACCAGAATTTAAACTGTATCTTCCAATGCAGGTAAGAATGATTTGTAATTTCACCAACTTCAAAGTCTAGGCTTATATGTGTGTTATGGTATCTTTAATACTCATGCATATCCCTTTTTTTGCTATTGCAGAAGGCTTGAAAATTTTCATTGGAGCACTCTGAAGCCCTAATTTCCAATTTTCTGTGCTTCGAGATTTAATTACTTTTTACCATTCTGTATTATTCATCCAGCTTAATCTTGTATGTATGGTTGTTATAATAGCAATAGAATTAACCAATTCTTGTCAATGGTGTTACGAAACGGAATTTAAGTGGGTTTTTATATTGAGGAAAGTGTTAGCCTTTGCACTTAATAATTGTGGATCTTTACTTATCGGTAATTAAAGTTCTTATAAGTACATTGGCATCTCAAATGCAATATTAAATGCTAGTTTTGTTGAGACTCAAAATGCAGTTTGGATTCAAATTAGAGCACAAAAGCACTTTATTTTAACCTTCTTATTTGATCCCTGGTGAACTTATTCACACAAATGTTTGGATATTTCATTAATTCCCTGGCATTCTGCGTGGTTATTTTTCCTGTAAAGATGACTTCTTAGTAATAGTGAAAGCAATCATTTGAAATGCATGCACTAGTCTTGCTGGAAATTAATATGAAAAAATAATTATAAGCTGTACATTGAGGTTTCTCTTGAGTGTTATATGCAGTGATGTATCTTTCTTGGTGCGTGAACTATGGATTAGGACAAACCCATTTTTGAAGCTTGGTATTTTTGGGCTCCAATCCAGACAAGTCTAGATTTGCGTCATGAGGATCCAGTAAGCAGGTTCATCTAGAATGTAAAAGTGGATCTTCTGAATAAAATTTTCTGACCTAAAGCACTTGGTCAGAACTGTTAGTTGTTGAAGTTCACCTCCCTCCAGACTCTTCAACTTGACTCTGCTATACTAATTCATAATAAGGCATACGTGTCAACAGATTTCTAGATTGATTGGGGAACAAGGCAAAGTTGAAAATAACAGCATAAGGTGGTGGCTATCCATTTTCACATTGATTCTTGCTCAAACTTCCAAATTATTTCAGTATGTCTCTCAGGTCATTATCTCCACTTTCAGCTCACTTGTTTACGCTGTTATTCTGATAAACTATGCCTGTATTCAATGGCTATGATCACTGTGATCTAATTTGAGCCTCTTTATTTAACACAAACTACATAGTATCTGCATATTTTTACAACGATTATTGACTTGATTGATCAACAAATTCTGCCACAACATATGCATAATCTTTCCTCATGTGGGCGCTTCTATGTGGATATGATGTGGTCACCACACTTTCCGTTCACACAACAAAAGTCAAGAATAATGGCTCCAATCCGTAGGGAGTGTAGATATGATAAAATAAAAAAAATTCAAGTGAGGGACAAACATAGAGCAGTTATGACTTGATGGTCCACTTTGCCTTTATGACTATTCAGCAGATGTGACCTTTGCCTTCTTGTTTCTTAATCAAGTTAGACCTATAGAAATGATAAAATTATGTTGAAAGTTTTATGTTATTATCATCTGCTGTTAAGTGGATTAAAACCATTGGTTGTAGTGTTAAATGTTTGTAATAATAGATTTAATATATAGACTTTAAACCTAAAACTTCGGGTATTAGGTGATTGATCAAATAATTCTGGTCAACTTTGAAACGTAGTGCCTCCGTGAAACATTTGAGAAGCTCTTAATCAATAGTCCTCTGCTTCCTTCTGCCGAGTAACCGAGTAGGATGAGAAAGTCTGGAACGAAGAAGAGCAACAAATGGCTGAATACGTTGTTTCCTTAGTCATTGAAAGCATTGCTGGTCAAATGGTGGATGAAGCTGTTTCCTTGGCAAGAGTACGGGACCAAGTTGAATGGATTCAGGGAGAATTAAGGAGAATGTTATGCTTTCTTAAGGATGCAGATGCAAAACAAGATGGTGATGAACGAGTTAGAAACTGGGTGGCAGACATAAGAGAAGTTGCTTATGATGCAGAAGATGTCATCGATGGCTACATCCTCAAAATGATGCAACAGAAAGAGAAAGCGCTAATCAGGCTCTTCAACAGGTACCCTTTTTTCTTGAATGAACTGGTTGCACGTTATAAGCTTAACAAGCAAATAACCAGGATCAAGCTGAAAATTCATGATATTAGCAACGGTAGGTCAACTTATGGAATTGAAAATATCGGTGAAAGGGTAGAAGGGGCTAGTTTTGCAGTCAACTCTCTTCGTGAAAGGAGACGATCATACCCTCACTCTTCTGAAGAGGAAACTGTTGGTACAGACGAGGACATAAAGATTCTAGAAGATCAGCTAATTAATGGGGACTTAAGGCTCTCTATTATTTCAATCATCGGCATGGCTGGTCTAGGTAAGACCACTCTTGCTAAGAAAATTTATGGTAGTAGCAGTATCAACAAGTATTTTGATTGTCGTGCTTGGATTTATGTCTCTCAAGAATACAAAGCTGGAGACATATTGAGAGATTTGTGTAAGAAGGTTATGGGGTTTAGAAAGGCGGAATTAGAAAGGATGCACAGAGAGGAAATGGAAGAAGAGTTGTCAAGTGTTTTGGAGCAAAGAAGATTTATTGTGGTTTTGGATGATATATGGAATAAAGAAGCTTGGGATGATTTAAAACCAGTCTTTCCAGATACCAAGAATGGAAGTAGAATAATTTTCACTACTAGATTCAGAGATGTTGCTTTGCATGCTGATCCACGAAGCCGACCACATGAACCGTGCCTTCTTAGTGATGAAGATAGCTGGAAATTGTTGTCCAAGAAGATATGCCTGGAATGGAATGCCATGACAAGTTTACCTGCTTGGACTGAGGAGCTAGGAATACAAATTGTGAAGAAATGCAGGGGATTACCTCTTGCAATTGTAGTTCTAGGAGGTCTGCTGTCAAGAAGAGAAGCAACCTATGAAGAATGGCTCAAAGTTCTGCAAAGTGCACATTGGCAGCTACTTCGAGATCCAACACAATGCTTAGATATTTTAGCACTAAGTTATCATGATTTACCTTACTACTTGAAACCTTGTTTTCTTTATTTTGGTCTCTTCCCTGAGGATTTTGAGATTTCTGTTAGAAGCTTGAATCTGTTGTGGGTGGCAGAAGGATTTGTGCAGCCTAGAGGCCAAGAACCATTGGAAGATGTGGCTGAGGATTACTTGGAAGAATTAGTGGGGAGGAGCATGGTTCAAATTGCTGCAAAGAAATTTAATGGAAGGATTAAAACAATTCGCATACACGATCTTTTCAGAGAACTTGCCATAAAGAAAGCTAAGGAAGATCGATTTTTTGATATCATCCATGGAGATGCCAAGGATTGCTTTCTAACAAGGCCTCGTAGGATCTCTACAAGCTTTGGGATCACTCCTAAAACTACAAATAGGTCAAGAATCCGTTCTTTGTTGGTTTTTGATCAGAATGAACCAAGATTGAAGGACTTGAAAAAATTTAAACTCTTGCGAGTTCTTGGTTTGGAAAGTGTTCACATTGGTCTACTGGACTCTGATGTTGGTAACCTCATTCATTTGAGGTACCTGGGCTTGGAAGGAACTTGGTTGAAGCAGCTTCCTTCGTCAATATGCAGGCTTTTGAACTTGCAAACACTGGATTTAAGATCAACACTGATTGATCCAATTCCTGTTTCTATTTGGAAGTTACCGGAATTGAGACATTTGTTCTTCAATAAGATCAGAGAGATGGTAGTGAAGCCACCTAAGGATGTTTGTCTATTTAGTCTCCAAACATTGCAGGGCGTCTGTATTGGAAGAACTAGTTCTGTCGAGCTAGGCTTGGACAAATTGACCACCTTAAGACACTTGAGCTTATTCGGCCATCTTAATCTGCAAGAAGAAGCTTTAAGGAGATGGATTTTCAACTCCAAAGGGCTCCAAAGCTTGAAGCTAGATTCAAGAACTAGAGGTGAGGACATCACAAGGGTTACCATTCCAGGATTTTTGGACTTTTCAAGTCACATCAGTCTCAACAAATTATATTTGGGAGGGTTCATGCTCAAGTTGTTGAACGTCCAAGATTTTCCACCAAACCTTACTGAACTAACATTGCATGGTTCTTTCTTGATGGAAGACCCCATGAAAACACTTGAGAAGCTACCAAGTTTGAGAGTTTTAAAATTAAAGCACTCTGCATATGTGGGAAAGCGAATGGTATGCTCTAGTGGGGGGTTCCCTCAACTCCAATTCTTGAAGTTGTCTTTCCTTTACTCAGTGGGGGGATGGAGAATACAGGAAGGCGCAATGGCCAAGCTCAAGGAGTTACACATTGTTGAGTGTAAGCGACTGAGGATTGTTCCAAGAGGATTATGGCCGGTGACTACTCTCAGCAATTTGAAACTAGGCTACATGCCAAGTGATTTTGAGATGAAGGCTCGGGATCGCAAGGGAGAGAATTGGTACAGAATTGAACATGTGCTTCCAGTGTAAGCAGACGGTTTCTCCAAAAATGGCTCCAGCTTTCCAAGGCTATTCTCTTCTTAATCACTATCATTATCATTGTTTTCCTTTTTCTTTTAAATTTCTTTGAAAACATTGTAAGAATGATGGCATTTGGTGTGTATAGAGAACATAAACCAACTCGAGAGGACTCCTCAAAGATACAAAATCCGTTCTATTTTCAAAGAACATTTCTCCTTTTGTGGCAATAAACCAACGAAGGTGATTCAAAGGATGATGACCAACAAAAACTTAAAAGATGTGACAGAGAAATGACCATTTTTCCCAGCACTGCCAAATTTCTTCAATTTTCTTCTTGTTCTTTGCCTAAGCGGGATGCAATTTTTTTCCATCTCAATCTGGTTAATCTTATTCCATCCATCCCAAAATTTGAATCCAAAATTTTCACCATGTGAACCTGGAATCGGAACCAATCTATGGCAAATATCCAACAGCAACAAGCATTAACCAATCTGCAACAAGCATTAACCAATCTACAACAAGCCCTGGGTTCAATCTCCTATGGCAAAAAATTCTAAAAAATGTAAAACAACGCAGTCAAAGTGGATGCCATGTTGGAGAGGCTCTGGTGGCTCCAGTGAAATCTTGGCAATGTCAGTTAGTATATGATGGGGCCCAACGACATAGCAGCATTTATTGGCCACCATCTTCCCCTCAATTCTCAACCTTCTATTTCTCATCACACAATCCTTAGTCGGACAACCCAGCAACCAGACATTCAACTGCCTGTGTGCCTCAGCCTCCAACAGAAACAACCAAAGATAGGCCAACACACAAGTGCCTGCTTCTGTCTTTCTCTCACATTCACAGGTGGCAAAGAGAAAATGGCAGTGCAGATGACAGTCCGAGTTTCGGCCACTGCAAGACTTTCTCTTCCTTCTCTTTCCTCTTCCCCTTCTTCTCCTTCACCATCGGGAGCGTCATCCACTAGCAAAGTTTCTTTGAAACCCCAATTTAAACCCGTCTCTCTATCACTGCCAACATCGACAGCCATCTCTCTATTGGCTCTATTTTCACCTCCCCATGAGGCCAAAGCTGTCAGCCTTAGCAAAGAACAGATAGTCTCATCTCTCACTGAAGTAAGAAGTCAAAGTAGATTGCATAATATTTGCATTTATTTTTAGACATTAAATTAGAATTCTTGAAATGAAAACAGGTGTTTCCCACTCTTATATAGATAAGCAAAAGTTGTTCCCCTTTTTTCCCCCATAATTCAATTTATACCCATTTCTTAAATAACTGTCAAAAGCATAGAGCTGCTGCCAAAATCGCAATCAAGCAATAAAGAAGCTGTCTTGTTCAGTAGTCAGAAGTAACATCCATTTTGTTGAAAATTTGGTTCTTCTTTACAGGTGGAGAAAACATTGAATCAGGTTCAAGAAGCAGGTTCAACTGCCTTTGGTACTGTACAGCAATTTCTTGATTTTTTAGGGAAAGCATTGAAGCCAGCCATAGATGCAGGGATGCCTATTGCACAAAAAGCTGGAGAAGAGGCATTGAAGGCTGCTTCTCCAGCAATATCTGAGGCGTCGAAGAAAGCCCAAGATGCAATTCAAAGCACTGGCCTTGATACTGAGCCAGTTCTCAGTGCTGCTAAGGTTCACCTCTAACTCCTCATTCAATTGCATATCAAAAGTACAAAGGAGTCGAAAAAGAGGAGAATGAAAATTTTCTTCCGTTCCATGATATTCAGATTTTCAACTTCATTTATTTTATAAAATGGGCCATGTTTTTCACTGTTGAATGTAAAACTACATTTTGATTTAGGTGGAAGAGTTGAATGTAATGCTTAATTTCGTTACCCAGCTGTAGACACCCACCATGCCATTGGATTAAATGTTGTTTTTGGAGTTTGTTGGAATGCTAATCACGCACTGAAATGTTAAATTAGAAATTTGTTTTGGTTTTCTAATTGCAGTGTTTCCATTGAATGCAAACTTAAGTTAGTGAGGATTTTATCACTACTTCACCTTCCCTTGAGCATGAAACGGGTCTGGAATTTGGATAAGCATACTGGGCTTTGTATTGGATTTGGAAGAAGATTGATTTAAGGAATACTATAGTTAAAAGTGGTTTAGGATGCTGTCCTGTTCAAAGAAGATATTGGTGAATGTGCTTGTGAAACGGTGTAAGGACCTACCCTTGTCATTATCCTTGGCTGTCCATGTGATAAATATGGAGGGTTGGAGCCCAGAAAACTGTCTTTGGAAAATTTTTTCAATATTTTATTCGTGGCAGACTGATAATAATGAAAAACTTGTGTTTCAATCGTGCAATTTTTTATGTAGAATTTAAGTGAGCTTGTTGTTGCATTCAGAAGCGCTGATGATATCTTTTAATATGCACAAAACTATAACATTTGCTTGTTTAGATCTCATCTGAATTTCAAGTTGTTAGTCTAATGATGCCAACATAATGTCTAGGCAACTTCTAGCTAGAATGCTGAGTCATTGACAGGCTTGATTTTCAGGAATCTGTAAATGTACCATGTTCTTATATTGCAAGACAGGTTGCTAAAGTATTTTCTTTGCTCATATCTGTTTATTTGTATTGCTGGGTTTACTTAAAGATAGTAGTGTCTGTTAAAGCCATGCAATGATTTTGGTTGCAGACAGTTGCTGATGCTGCAAAACAAACTACAAAGGTGATTGATGCAGCGAAGCCTTTAGCTTCTTCAACTTATGAAACCATCACATCCTCCGACCCCATAACAATTGTCGGAACTGCTGGTGCATTATTTGTTGCATACCTCCTCCTTCCTCCCATCTGGTCTGCCATCTCCTATAGTCTTCGTGGTTACAAAGGTGATTGTTGCTGTTTTCTGATATAAATTAGCCTCAGAGCATGAATTCTTTTTGCTGAGTACTTCAAAGAAGACGGAGAAAGATGAAAAAAGATTATAGTTTTCTCTATATGTAAACTAAATTTTGCTTAAAATCTTGGAAAATAACAGAATTCTGATTCTATGGCATGAATTTCTTCAAATTTTAACCTCTTTTAAGTATGTTTCATGGGAACTTAATGTTATAGAATGCAGCTGACATGTTGCCTCTCTGTTGTTCCTTAGGTGATCTTACTCCTGCTCAAGCCCTTGATTTAATATCTATGCAAAATTACATTATGATTGATATTCGGTCAGAGAAGGACAAGGACAGGGCTGGTGTTCCCCGCCTCCCCTCTAGTGCTAAAAAGAGGATGTTTGCAATCCCGTAAGTAAATATTTGGCTTCAATGAGTACATTTAGTTTTGTGGTAAATTGACAGTAAAGAACTAAAAAACCATAGTGCAGTAGTGCTTTTCTATGAAATTCTGAGATTTCATCATGTCTTGCTTCTCTGTTTTCCACCAACTCATCAGTTATTCTGACTGGTTGCCTAACTGGTAATTGAATGCTGAAGCAGAGATCCAAGGTGGCTAATTGGATAAATAGCACTTCTACAGCTTAGAAGAAAAGTTTTGCTTCTTAAATTTTCTTTTCTTTAAAGCATTATGATAAAATAAAAGAGTGCAGTGAAAACTGTTGGCCGGACCCTTAAAATGTTTGAAAAGATGTGTGAAACTAAGCTGAAAATGCTTTTGAGAAGGAAATATTTTGGTAATAAAATGTACTAATCTCTATGATTGTATTTGATCATGGCAGATATCTGCTGCCTAATATTTGTCAGTAAACAGTCCGAATTGTACCCACACTGAGCTATTGTGTCATTATTCATAACTGCTTCTGTATTTTTAGTTTGGAAGAGTTGCCAAGCAAATTAAAAGGAGTAGTGAGAAATGCAAAGAAAGTGGAAGCTGAGATTGCAGCCTTGAAGATTGCTTATCTCAAGAAAGTGAACAAAGGTTCAAACATCGTCATCTTGGACTCGTGAGTTCTTATTCCCTTCCTATCTCATTGTGCCAATGCATTAAAAAATCCGGTATTACAATTTACCTTTTTCGAATCTTTGAATGTTCAGCTACTGTGATTCAGCAAAAATAGCTGCAAGAACATTAAAAATTCTGGGATTTAACAACTGCTGGGTGGTAGCTGATGGGTTTTCGGGAAGCAGAGGGTGGCTACAGAGCCGACTAGGAACCGATACATACAACTTCTCTTTGGTGGAGGTTGTGTCACCATCCCGGGTTTTCCCTTCGGCTGTCAAACGTATTGGTACAGCCAGCACAAAGTTCCTTCCTGGCGCGGAATAATCATTTGTTGCCTTGTCAAATAAGTAGAAAAGAAATGCTTGAATGTGCATTCTTTGCTTTAGATCAGAGATCTCTGTTTGGAATAATCTCTTGTAATTCTTTCATTAATGTTGCATCTTCTTTCTTCTCATCTTTCATCTATTGCCCCAATGAAAAAAATACTAATAATTTTTTCTCTGAAACACATTGGAGGGACTTCAAAGCATGATATAAAGGAGCAAAGAGACCTGGATCCTACATGATTTTGGACTCAAATACTTGAAATTATAGATTTAGATGTTTCTTGAGATTTTGAGAAAACAAACAAAAGTAACAATTAAGGAAGAGTAATTTTGGATTTAATCTTACCATGTTTCGTTAAATGTGTTAAACTTAGTTAATACGTTTAAAATGTTTAATTAATCAAGTTAATCATGTTATTGTGATTAACCCATATAAATGGATAGTTTATCCAATTTAATAATTAAAGATTATTTTTACTTTATTGAAAAAATTTTAAACAGTCATTTTTAAAAGGTTTTTTAAATTTAACGAGGATAATAAGGGAATACAAACCAAGCCCTAATTTTCTTCATTGTTTCCTTTCATTTGACCTTTCACCTAATGATTCTAATAATCTAATATACATTTATCCATTTTCTTAAATTATTCAATCTGTTCGATTAATATATGACTAGTTAAATTAATTCAACTTTTAAAAAATATTTTATCAAATAAATTAAATCTTCTATTTACACACTTCTATCCTGTTTTGTAGTACTCCAAACATTAAGAAGTAGAACAAAATCTCAGATATGTGTGTGTATATAATATTGGAACTTTACAATAATGGTTGTCTAAAGTACAACCAGTAAAAATATATTGTAATTATTAGTTAGTTGTGAGTTACCAAATAATCAAATTATTGCTAATTAAATAGACAAATTGACGATTAGCTTGCTAACAACTACCATGTCAGACATTTCAACCACCTTACCTTATATAAAAAATTAAAAATAAAAGACAAGTGAGTAAGCAAAGCAAATTATCAGAGGAAAAAAATTTGAAAAAGACGTCGTTTCAGGAGTATACGTCAAAAACTTTCAAAGCAAAATCAGCCTCACCAGTTTATTCACTAAAAATCTCATTCTTTCTTTCACTTTTGAGTTCAAAAAAACAGTAGCAAAAATGGTGTACAAATCGTTGGATTCCGTCACCGTTAATGATATCGAAGCGTTGGGGATATCGTCTCAACTGGCAGAAGAAATTCACCGAAAGGTGACGGAGATCGTTGGTCGTTACGGAGCTGCCACGCCGGAGAGTTGGAATAGAATTTCCAAACACGTCCTTACTCCTAATCTCCCTTTCTCTCTTCATCAGATGATGTACTATGGTTGCTATAAAGACTTCGGCCCCGACCCGCCTGCTTGGATGCCCGATCCGTAAGGATTCTCCTTTGTCCTCTTTTTCACTTTACTTTGATCTTCAAGTTATTGCTTATGCTTTTACAAATAAAGTAAATATAAGAAAACGAAAAAGGGAAAATTATAATCCTTTTTTTTTTTAGCTGGAAGTGCATGAATAAATAAAAAGAAGTGGAAAAAAATTGAATATAACGGCTACCTTGGTGCATACTGGCAATCGTGAAAATTAATGAGTTCAATTTTCTAATGATTCAATTCAATTTTGTATGCAAACAGCAAAAAAGCTCAGTAGGTTTGGATTTAAATAGAATCAATAGTTTTTTGTAACTGTCAACTGAATGAGTAAGTTGTACTCCAACTGCAAAAAGCAATGCTTCAAAATCCACTGAGAAGAAAAATGAAAGAAAACGAAGGACTCATTTGTAGTGAAAATTATATTTCTTAGACAGAATGGAGTAAAGTATAAAGTTTAATGTAAGAGGAGAAATCCAATAATCCATTTTAATTAATTGATATTTTTTCCTTCTTGAAGAATGGAAAATTGTCGAATCCAATGGCTACCCTGTAATAGCTTGAACTAGATGATGGAGTTGATTTAAATAAAATTTCACCTTTATTTACATGTTAGAATAAAAATGTTTGGCCAAAATTATCATTTGAGCAGCCATTGACGCTCATGTATTTTTTCAGCATCTGTATTTTTTCTTTGTTTCCTGACTTTTATTCTTTTGATTTTTTTCTTGTTTTATTAATACTGTTATCATGCTTAATTTTGCTGATTTGCATATGGATAGGGAGAGTGCACTGTTAACAAATGTTGGCCTTCTGTTGGAGAAGCATGGAAAAGAATTTTTGGTGTCCGAGTACAAGGATCCCATATCGAGTTTCTCTCATCTTCAGGAATTTTCAGTCTCAAACCCTGAGGTATAACTGTTATGGCTCCAAGGTCACATTTCTTTAAAATGCATAAATGTATTTGACAATTTGAATTCTGGATTATTATTAAACATATATTGTTTCCTATATCTTGATATGCCAGGTTTATTGGAAAACTGTATTGGATGAAATGTGTGTAAATTTTTCGGTCCCTCCTGATTGTATCTTACATGAGAGTCCATCTGAAGAAAGCCGCATATTGAATCCAGGTGGTAAATGGCTTCCTGGAGCTTTTGTGAACCCTGCAAAGAACTGCTTGATTGTTAATAGTAAGAGAGGTTTGGATGATATAGTAATAAGATGGCGTGATGAGGGAGATGATGATCTACCTGTGAAAAGCATGACACTTAAGGAATTGCAACTGGAGGTTTGGTATGCTGCTCTTCACCTTTAGATGCAGTTGTTTGTCAACAGACGCCTTTTTCTTTTCTTTTTTACAGTTTACATAATTTGTTTTGAAATCTTCTCCTTTTATCTTGAAAGGAAGATTCTTCCCAAGGCTGAATGACTGATTGAAGTATTCTTAGAGTTGTCTTGTAGTTTTGAAGGATTTTTAGCCAAATAGGTGTGCTTCCTCAATGAATTCAATAATTATTTTTTGTATTATGTACTTAGTGCGTGTGATTTTGAATATTGGTTGATTGATTCTACTTAGTAGGTCTGTGGATCAAATAGGCTCTTAATGTTATGTAGAGTCAGAATTATTGAATTTGATAAATGAAGAGGTCTTGATATTGTAATTGAAATGCTTGTTCTTTGTACTTCTACCTACTCTTAATATCATATGAACCAGTAGTCCCTTCCAGCTCTTGATATTATATTAACCAGCAGTCCTTTGTTGTTCTAATTTGTAGGTTAGTTGCACATGCTCTCAATGCTCTGGGCTTGGAGAGAGGATCTGCAATTGCAATTGATATGCCGATGAATGTCTACTCTGTAATTATCTACCTCGCAATTGTTCTAGCAGGCTATATAGTTGTATCCATTGCTGACAGTTTTGCTTCTCTTGAAATATCAACAAGGCTTAAAATATCAGAAGCAAAAGCCATTTTTACTCAGGTTGTTTTCCTTTTTCCTTTCACCGGACTGTGAATCCTTGTTTCGTATCTTTACAATTTCTTCTGAATAATAGCAACTTGTGCTTTAGGAGTTTATGCTCTTTCATGCTTCCGTGACTTTTGTTATTGCGAATGAGTTCTACACAACAGAGGCCTCCATTGTGGCCTTTATTATGGGTGGAAAATTGCAAATTCACTTAGATGATCTTTAGATATAAACTTACCATTTCAGATAGTAAATAGCATGAACAAGGATGCCTTCTTCCTCCACATCATAATTCTTAACTAGGTATTCGGGGAAACATTTCCAGGCATCCGAAAGTTGTCCAAAGTTCAAATGATTTGTGTCGGAGATTATGTCCATCATGGTTAGGTGCTAGCTTCTGCTGAATGGGCATGCGTATATTTGGTACCTCATTGAAGGTTTTCATGTGACTAGGAGCTCAAATCCGAGGCATTGTTTAAGGAGCTATCTTTAACCACACCATAAATTTTTGTTTGCCATCGTGTGGCATGCATTACCATTCATGAAATTTCCCCATTTATTTGTTTTTGTTAGATATTATTGTGAAAAACAAAATGTTAGATATTTACTTATCTATATTGAGCACATGCTTTTTGGTAAGTGGTTATTTGATGAAAGAAATTGTGAGAGAAATTAATAATTCCTTTTTCCTTTTTATCTTTTCATTTGTCCTATTAAGGTTCTGTTTGGGTTGTAGAAAATATTGAGGAAAGAAATTTGAACAAAATTTTGAAAAGAAGAAAAACAGTAAACATAAAAAAGAAAATAAGTTTTTTTTTAATCTATTGATAGATAAATAGTTTAGTTTTCTATTTTTTTGACAAATTAAACAAAGAAAATCTCCAACTTTATGTTTCTTTCTTTTGGCCTTTTTCTTGAATATCATTTTCTCAGAAATTTGCATGAATTAAACAGACCAAGGTGCTTTAGACAGATATATGATGTCTTCCCATAAAAAGAGGCTTTTGTACAGAGAGAGAGAGTGATGAAAAGCCATCCTAGATTTTTTATGGATTTTGGTAAATAGGGTTGTTGAGCCAGTTTGATACCTAGAAAACTCTCTTTCATTGTACATGCTGGCTAAATCTCATTGATTTTGATTTTAATGAAAATGACCAACTAGACTTAAATTTGCTGAGAAATCAAGTTTAGGACCTCAATAAGGTCTCTAGGTAGCGCTATAGCAAAAAAAACTCTTTGAATTGGGTAGTGGGAAATGGGACTGACATAAACAAATATATTTGTTAACAATTTTCTTCTTTTTTTTTCTTCTTGTTTTAAACTTTTTGGTCTTTATCTCTTGTTAAATCATATTTTCATCACAATTTTGTCTGGAAATTTTTTCACTATCTCATCTGATATTATTTTGTGGATCTTCCTTTAATAAGTCTCTCATCGTTGTCTTAGTCCTTTTGTTTTTGTTGCTTTTTTAGTCTTTCCACTTCCCTCTCATGAACATTTACTTGCTTATGTCATGTTAACTCTTTTGTCACTTTTATCTCAGGATCTTATTATTCGCGGTGAAAAAAGCATCCCTTTGTATAGGTGAAATTCTTTAAACTTTTAACTCAACTATTTAAGGTAGTGTGTTCCTTTATTCATATTTCTAGTTTCTAATGGTAGTTGTCTAACAGTATAGCTTCCATTCTGCAGTAGAGTTGTGGAAGCTCAGGCACCTATGGCCATTGTTATCCCAGCCAGAGGCTTT